TACCGGCTGATCACGAAACCAACTACTACGTGAAACGGTGAAACGATGCTTCTAGGTAATGAAGTAAATGGAAATCATATCCTCAGGTCAGAGAGAAACGACTATTTTCAGCTGTCACGCTAGGTAGTATCTCATCCGACGAAGAGGTGTTATTTATTATTCATGCCTGGACCCCAAGGCAAAACCAGCATACTGCTCTCAAGCCAAATTTTGTGTCAAGATTGTTCAACAGAAATGCAATACTTCAGTGGGAATGTGCACTTCAACAACACGGTCCTGACCAAAACGGGAACGACACTTGAAATGCACCTGAACGATGAGGTTAGAACAAAATGCCTGACTACAAACTTACCGACAAGATCACGAGCATAACTTGAAGCTTACTTGATGACGTCAGAAAAGTTCGTTAATAAATCTACCAGACAGGGACGTATATCCGTAAAAGCATTTCTTGCTCAACCAAACCTAAAGGACATCAAACAAGACTGACGGTGAAACGTGTGTTGCGAACCGGTAGCAGCATCCGAAAGTAGTGTGAAAGTATGAATCTTGTTTTATAATGCCTGTAGATTAATAAGCACTACTTGGTGAGCAAATTCATTCGACCCCGCCACGAAATGGCGTTTTCTGACTCAGACGCGGTCTACGTGCCTATTCACTACAGAAACTCAAATATTATGGAGCCATGACCTGCTTAAATGGCCCCCTAGGTGACTAGAAGCAACATATAACGAGGTTAACGACATCCATTCGTTTTACACTACCACAGTATCGGTGTAAAGTAAGAAACGTTTCGTAATGCCTGCAGATTAATAAGCCTTGTGTTGAGACAGCATTCATGCCGGTAGCATAATCCAATTTTCCAATATTAATAGTATTTTCTGAGAAAACGAACAAATTCCGCCTTTTACCACACACTGCAAAGGAACTACAAGTATTTATTACCACCAGCATCTATTTCACAGGGACAGATTCACTGTTTTCCGTAATGATTGATAAAATTTTCTTATTAGCTGGCAATTATCTTAGGAGACAAATAGATATCAAGTCGATAGCATGCGAACACAGAAAAGCATAGCATTTTAATGTGATCAGCATTACAATATTTGTAATTACTATGCACAAAAATGCTTCCTCGTGCTTCAGCATCCATACACAAGCGGTGTACAGCAGCAAGCAAAATTATTACATAAATTACTGTTATGTATTATTAAATGAAATGGTACTCTAGTGCTGAAAGTTTCGTGATCGTGTCTTGAGCTCCATGCATCCCTTATGGACAATTTCATGGTTTCTGTAGAAATAATGGAATATTTTTCTGTTGATGTACAGTGTACACGTGCTTAGGGTTGAAATTCGAAAGAAGTCTCTTCAGACACAGCATTAATAAAAGCCGAAATGCTGGCCACAACATAATGACAAGTTGTCATCACTCTTGTAGATTACAAAATCCGTTCAGACAAGAGACCCCTGCTAGCTGCAGCTGCAATCAAGAAATTTCCGTAATCCAAAACGCGTTTAGGTGAACCGCTCTTTCACCCTATTCGATAGACCTCACCTGCGGTGACTGTCATCTGGACGGCTTCCAAAATTCTAGCAATATAATCTGTACTAAACCACAAAGCAGGCAGTTAAGAGGCAAATCGAAAGCCAGCTGGGGTTCTAGACTTTACGTCGCCTCGGAATTTGTACCACAAACAGGAGCAATGAAAATATATCCGTGTGGTTGCTGCTGCAACACCTTAAAAGAATAGCCGGCTTTGATCATCGACGGATTAGTGAATATTTCTCCTCAATCCAATACGTAAACTTGGACGTGTGTAAATAGTAGAATACTGGCCGGTTCTGATCAGCCACAATGTTTCGTTTGTAAGTTAGTTTACTCATAAAGCTATTTAAAATG